AAGAAAAGCAGGGCTTATAGCCTTAATATGGTTGTTCTTACAATGTTTTTGTAAGTTAGAAACTTAAGCCGGACGTCCACTTGAGAGTTTTATAGCACGAGTTCGCTCTCCGAGAGTAACTCGCAAGTGGAAGGTATTTTGCGAGCAACTGTTGGGACAGTCGCAACCAACTCTCGATAGAACTGTTGAGAGCGATTTCTCTCAAGTGGAAGGGGGTCACCATTAAATGTCAGGCATCCGAACCCAGCTGTCGATAGACTGTGCGAGTGATTTCCTGTCAAGTCTTCCAGATTTCTGTTTGAGAGTGCTCTGTTTCTGCGAGAACTGTCAGCTTTTTATTAACAGGCTTATTATATTTTTCACAACACTTGGAGTCTGAAATATGTCGAAACGTACGGAATGGACGCGTGAAGAGATTGAGCGCCTCATCACAGAATATGAAACTCGTCCTGTGCTTTGGGATGTTCAATCGACTAAGTTTCAAGACAGACAGAAAAGAACGATGCATGGAAGAACTTTGCCGAATCGGTACAAAAAGACCTTGTGCACTGTTTTCTCTGTTTCGTCTTTCCATCGATTATAATTATAGCCGCAGGACTTCGTTTTTTCTTGGACAACATTTTCCAATCGGAAGTTGTAAATCACACTGGCAAGATGTCGTGCAACTCGCACCCCCTTCCCACGAGCAGCTCGCGAATGTAATTTGTCTTTCAGGTGGAAGGACACTTGAAAGTTTCTCGCGTTAGTTGATAGCACAAACTCTTTGATAGTTACTCGCAATAAAATCTACTCTCAATTGCTCTCAAATGGAAGGAGCACTGACAGTTCTCTCGTGAGTAACTCGCGAAGACTCACAGCAAAAACTCTCAAATGGACGCCCGGCTTAAAAGTCTGTCATTTGCGAGCCACTCTGACAGTAACATCGATCGTCTGCTAGTGTGTAATTTTTTTTCAAGTAAGGCATTTCTATTCTAAATCTAACTATTTGATTTTCTATTTGTTTAAGCAGGACAGTGTCACAGACTCTTATAATCGACGATGAAAACATAACTTTGTCAGTGGATGAACATCTAAAACGCAGTAACTGTTGTTTACGTACTTATGGCAGCCACCATGTTGATTCTCCATGTCTCCTCAATTGTGCATAAAGATCAGAGAAACTGGATACTCAATCCGGAGAATCTGGACTGCATTATCGAATGGGATCTAAGAAAGCCGAATCTGAATGACACGTAATCATAAAATGGCCGACAGTGAAAGTCATGCTCTCTGATCTCTCTTACTTTTAGTTAATTTCCCTGTGCTATAATCGACTATATGGATTAAGATATAGAACTTATATTTTAATGATGTTCCCTTGGACCTGTATATCTTCTGTAAGTATCAACTATAGATCTAAAAAGTGATATGGAACCCATAGAACCAATAGACCGCTCTTTCTGGTGTGATTTTCTTAGGATGTGTAATATATAGGATTATCTAGTGATTATCTCGTGATAACGGATTAAATCTGTAAGTATAATATTTAAATAAACCGGGGCTAAACTTAAATCATAAATTGAATAAACAAAAACAAGGGTAGGTATTAGGCTTTTTTGGAACAGTGGACACTATGTCGAATTTAGGTCGAGAAATAAGAACAATTACTTTATAACTTTAACAATTTTATATATTCAATAATCTCAGAAATATTTACAATAATAGAATAATAATAATATGATATGCAATAAATTTAAGCATAATAGTGTTAAACCGAACGCAGCCAATAGAATTCATATTAAAGATTCATAATAACTAGAATCATTCAACTACCAGTGTGTGATCCGTTATTATTCTTCCCCGGTTATGCAACTATCGGTTTGGCAACCCTAACCCAATTTTAGATGGAGTTTCAGGATGGTTATAATCCGAGCCTATAAATGAATAGTACATTAATTTGGAAACACGAATAATTCAGTAATCCATTTGAACTCGTTATACTAATTCCTATTTGGCCATTGGGAACATCAATTAGCCACAACGGGGTAATGTATTAAATGTACTTAAACATAAAATCGGTTTGTGCCATATCAGAACAACCGTAAACGGTTATAAGACACCTGGTTGTCCTATAATACACATACCATTTTGGACATGATTCCAACTTCTTAAAAGCAACCGTTCAGCAAGGTTAGATCAATTCCAAATAAGATAGGAATAATAGATCCGTAGGTGCTCAATGTCTAAAGGCAAATTAGCCACGATTGTAATTCCCGCGGTTCGTTATATTATATAACTCTATTTTTATAACGTCATAAGCGACATAATACTTGCTGTATGCTTAAGCGTCCATATATTATAATTGAATAAATCAGTTTCCGGTCTAACCATCTTTGTTTACATACCGACTATCTTACATGGTGTCAGAAATCTGAGCCCATCGCCTATATTATTAACTGTTCCGCCTGAAAAACATTCTGATATTCAGTGATTTAATAAGTTGAGATTATTTTTGAGTGACAGTTATTTGTCAGCTTCTACACGGAAAATTAAAATGACGCATGTGCAATTTGATCAACCGGTATTCGATTGGGACGCGAAGGACTTATACAAAGATTATCAGCGCTTTAAACAGCATGTTGACCAGAAGGAACAAACGTGTTGCACGTTACGGACTTAAGCAACGCAAACAAACTGAAGGTGAATCGTTTGACAATTTTGTGAAGGATAATTTTCAATTATATGTAGACTATTGATCGCCAATATCGGATTAGTCGTGATACAGTTATGGACCATACGGGGTATTGCTCCTCCCGATGAGTTCTGCTTGGGAAATCGGCTGTGTAAATAGATTTGAATGTTGAAGAGATCGGGACTATGTCATGGCTCAATAGTGGCGCAATCAGATATTGTTTCTCTATCTTGGGAATAACGTAGCACGTACGGGTATTCGCAGGACTGCTGAGGCTCAGTCGTGAGAATGGTTGATATAATCTTGGTATAATCATAGTACTCTCGTGGCTCATTTACTCCTAAAGACCTGCGAATATCGTGATCTCAGCATTACAAACACCATGTGCAGACTCGCTAGACGCAATTAGGCATCATGGATGCATCCCGCGTTCATCCCAAAGTGCAAACTGCAAATCCGATCAATAAGAAGACCCCAGGACCAAAAGGCGCCGAAAAGGATCAATGTAACTAAACTTTAAAGCGTCCTTGACTCACTAGATTTCTCAAATAAACTAAAAATGAAGTGAATTTCTACGAATAAATAATGATAATAATAATATAACAATAAACTCCTTATTTTACGTGGGTCAGAATTAAGCCCAATACCCAAGAACATGGTCCCGTCTAATATTCAGCCCATGGGTATAATTATAATGAATGAATGAAAACCTGTTCAACAAATACACAAGCTCATGGACAGACTATGATGTTGTGATCAAGTACATGGCCACAGAAGATGCATAATCATAATTTAATAATATATATCATACAGAAAAATACATGTATATAAGTACATGTGTATGAGATGGACAAATTTATGCAAACGGGATCAAGTATATAACCACAAGACAGTGTTGATGATCAATAGACAGCATTCAGAGGTTTGGTCTACTCCACTGCATATGAAAATTCCTAGCCTATATATATACAAAAAATATGGAGAATGTGTAGAAATGATAATGTTCTGACAATAAGAATTTTCTAGAGAGTTCCTTCCAGAAGGTTCCAGTATATTCTTCAATGTTCTTTGAAATTCTACGATGTTCTATTGGTTTCTGGAATCGATTTCCAGAAAAGTTAAGTTTTTCATACTTATTTCTTTTATAAATCGCTGGATTTGGGACATTTCCTACACCAAACAAAAGCACCAATTTCATCGGAGTAAAGATATTTCAATTTATTTCTAGCGTCATGTGTGATTGTACTACTTGATTTTTTATCCCATCCCCACTTTTTATCTAATGGTGATGTAAAACTCCGCTTAGAATATAGACAGATATAGATTCGTTTTATACGGCTCTTTCTAAGTCATATAAAATTGTCAAATTGTGTATTTCGGCTCTATCATGAACGTTTAGCAAATGCGTTCAAATTTTATCACGTAAATTATAGCACCGTCCCTTTCAAAGCCATATTTGTTTTACATGTTGATGATACTTCTATCTTACAGCTGACAGCGTTTAGAGAGTTTTTTGTGATGTTAAATCTGCCCTATTCTGCTGTTAGAGGAGAAGAACTGGTTATAAAAGCCAGTGTTTTTAACTATCTTGGTTTTGATACAGAGGTTTGGCTATGGCCAAGTAGACATAAAACATTGCGTAAATTGGGAATAAATATATTAAGATAGTGGATCACGTCAAAACCGACATGTAGTTGTTTAAACGTATAACTTCTGTGCTATTTTTTGTAGGATATCTGCTGAAAACCAAAGAATTTTTAGCGTTTTCAATGTTGTCTGCTTTTAACTCTTCTTTCTATTTCAAAATCGAATCTGCCAGAGATCTCTCTTCGTTCATCGATAATATACATACAAGTTATATGAAAATCAATTGATAAATGATATATATATATATATATAGATCCCGAAGTCAGTCACTATATATTTTGATGTATGCAGAACATACTTGAATGTATTCAGCTAACTGTTCAATAAAGGAACTTTTAAAGAAGATAATATGCAATTTTAAATGAAAGGTAAGTTCCTTCACTCACATAAAACACGGTAATATTTTTATGTAAAGTAACGCCTTAAAGACTGTTCTGTGCATTGATACACAGGTATGTGTCCCGGCAGAATTCCAGTAATGGGACGTTAAATTCAATTATTACTTTTTTTCAAACCCTTGTTTGATGGATTGAAGGTAGTAATTGTTTGGTTCTCAAGAGGTGATATATTTTTTTAATTCTGACATTACATTGATATTAATAATATTCAGCACCAATGCCATCACATATAAACGGTATGAAGTCTCTTTAGAACAATTACATACATAACATAAAAGAACAACTGGGATGCAGAATAATTTATTGTCAATATAGATTATGTTTTAGGAAACTATATCATTACATTAACATTATATCTATCTCTTCTTACCAACCTGAAAATATCACAAAAAAATGAATTTGAAAGAGTTACAAAGTATACACAGAATAATAAAAATAAACAAATTAACAATTCCTCCTCTTATTTGACACACAGTCCTACATACGAGATGTTAAAGGGGACAAAAATATCCCGAAATTTAGATACATTTTGTGTAAAGAAAACCGAAACAAACAAGCTCATTGCAAAAGTTAGTTCGAAACATCTGCCTCTATTCCAGCCTCTGGTGGATATTTTGACAGTTGTCGGCTGGAGTAGAGTCAGAAGAAAAAGGCCCCGTTAAATAGGGATTTTCCATACCTCCAGTAATGCTTAATTTCTAACATAATATTAAATTACCTTTACAACGACTCTAAATAAGTGTTGGGCATTACCGTGACCTTCGTTTTGTTAGTATCACGTGAGTCTTTGACCTTTTGGCTGAACGTATGACTGAACTACAAACATATTCATCTTTCCAAATATATTTTGCTTTTGCAGATCCGAGGTGGTATCTAAATGGGTTTAAAACCCCCGCACCTGCGGAGATGCTTAATGTCCCCATTTAACAGAGCCTATTTTTCCTGTCTCTACACTATCCGATATATGTCCAAATAGCTACCAGAGGCTGGAATAGAGACAGATGTTTCGGTCTGTGTAAAAGTATAATAATCAATGATATTTGCTTTTGTAAGTCAGCTTTAAGAAAATAGATATTTTACCTTACATTCACCACAGACTCCTTGTGGACACAGAGCACAAACCGGAGCATTTTCACCTATAGATGACTTGTAGGAGACTGTAGCACTATTCTCCGGATTATAATAATCTGTTATAGTAACAAAACCTGGTTTCACTTTTCCAACAACTTCACCTTTTACTAGTCTTAGTTTTAAACACATTGGTGTATTCCCAACCTGCAAACAAATGAATTACCAATTTGATGATAATTATTATGAACATTGCATTAAATTAAAAGGTTTTGTGGTCGACATCGCGATAACATATACAAATACAATAAATCAACAAAACAAATTTGATCACAAAACTGTTCTCCACTTCGTATCTTCGTGGAATGTGCTGTAGCAGATATCTTGACAAAATAAAACAAGGCAGTCTGGGCATAACTGAACTTGGCGATCAACGTCTATTCTCATTGAATCTGGTGATGACATTCTATTTCCTAACAAGCATGTTTCAGTTTTTAGGGTTTTTTGATGTTTTATAGTATTGGGGGAAGTGGATCATAAAGATTGAGAAGCACTGATCTGAAACTTTGCATTACACCAGCAAAGTCTCAATTGTATGTTTTCGAACCAGGACGAAGGAGTTTTGATTCGCTGAACATGTAAAGGTTTGATCAAGTAATTTGATGAATTTTTGGGGGGTTGCAGACCGTTTGTTATTTTAATAATATAAAGATAATCACCTCATCGAAATAGAGAGTGAATTTTCTTTGGTCTGATTCCATCCTCTTTATAAGTTTATTATTTTGAAGCTGAGAATCGTCTACTCGGAAACCACTGATTAAAACGGTTTCTAATATTGCCATTCCACTTGACTGGTTGAGAACCTTCCAGCTGAAAAAAGAAACAGCTCTCACTGGTTGTATAAAATTTTATGGTGGAACAAGTTTGTAAATCAGATTATTTTTAAAAATAATTTAAACAATGATAAATCAACATTAAAGAAAAAATCTGGAGGCTACAGCATACTTTACAATGGATTTGCGATCATAGATTTCATGTTTTTAATTTGGTGTTAGAGAGATTGGTGTTGTCTAAATATTCTTTAATTAGTCCTTTGTGGCAGTAATGGGTAAACAGGTATACCAAGAATTTTAAAGACTTTTAAAACAACTACATTTGGTCATGAAAATATCAAAAGATATCGTACTCAAAACAAACTTTGATCACGAGAACTTCCAAAGTTTCAGATTCTGTTACGACACTGAGTCCCCAAGTCGATTGGACTACCAGTTCTTCAATGTTATATTTGACAGTTATCTGGAAGAGAACATTGATGAAACAATTTAAAAACAGAAAAAATGAAATACAAGATTATAATAAATGGTGTAGGATTTTAAAACCCTTTTTCAGATTTTGATATGCATTATGGATGCTGAATTTGACAATATTTATCCCAATAATATGAATAACTGACTATATTTATCATTAATATAATTTATAAATGTAACATACCATGACGATTCCACTACCGGTACCAGAAGCCTCGATATCAATACTATCAGTGGTTTCACGAGTCTGAAGTGACAATTAATAATAGAGATATTTTTATTTGAATAAAAAAGTAAAATTGCAGGGAACGTCCCATACCGGAAGTCTACCAGAAGACACGCATGTAAGCGGGTACTTTACACAGTATCCCCCGTGTTATTTGAGTGAAGAAACTTACCTCCCATTTAAATAGACTAGAACTCTGGGATATAGTCCATGTTCTACTTTGTCTGCATGCAAATACATTTAGAGTTATATCGTAACTTCCACCATGTAATAGACAAGCAAATTGTGACAAAGCTTGAAGTGCAACCACTGTATCCTGAAACAAAAGTGTGTCGTTCACTTCACTTGCTTTGTTAATGTAAACTTTTGTTCGATGTAAATTGTTAATATCTATACATACTAGATTATAATATGTTAATCAAAAGCCTGTACGTTTTTGTCAATAATTGCCTGCGTAGAGGAGTAACCACCATTGCTGTTTTGTTGTGAAAGTAACCACTTCATTATAGGTATACCTTTTTCTTTTTCTCCCATTTTAGAGTAAGTAAGTAAAACATAAGCAGCAGTCTCAATATTAACCGGACTACTTTGTTTGTGTGGTGGATTCCAGTAATACTGAACTCTGTCAGCCTCAATAACAACTTCCCAATATACCATACCATCTACAAAATGATGATTTTAATATATAGTTATACAAAGAGAACAAGCAGTAATTAAACAGGTTAAGAGCTTGATAATATCAATCTTCAAAGACTAAGTGAATGATATAAAGATTGCATGAAAAAGGAATGGGTCCATTATTTGGATATAGTTTATGGTCAATATTAAAAACACATGAGCAGATGTTGTAAATAGTGATAATAGTTCGTTCGGTGATCCGTTTAGAAGAATATTTCTCTTCAAATGTCAACGGATATAAAAGACAACAAAATCTTTGTAGATACACCGATAAGGTACAGACACAAAAACAAAAAAACAAAACAAAAACAAAACCATAAGATCATTCAAATCCAACTCGGAATACTCGTCGCTAAAACATTAATGGGCTTTTACCTTCAGTGGTTTGTAAAGATTCCAGCTTCTGTAAGATATTTGATGACTTCGTACTTCCAACTACATATAAAGCATAAGCCGTAATAGCGAGATCATATATGTTGGTCATTGTTTCACATGCTGTTTCTAGTTGTTGAATAGATATGTACATGCTGTTAGCAAAATATAATTGTCCCTAAAGGAAAACAAGGCTTTTTTAAATGTACAGTGTGGATACAATATAATATACAAGAATAATGTAGCCCAAAAAGAAATTAATGTACGGAAATGTACAGAAGATTCTCAAAGGTAATGAATCACAACCGACAAGGATGCGGAATGTTTTCGTTTTCGTGCATCTCCGAAAATGATAAATAATTGACATTTGCGACCTCGCATGATCGAATTTGCATGGTTTGATATTATCTATTCCTAACATATACAAAATTTCGGTTCATACCAAATGTCACAATTTTTCAACGGCCAAAGTTCCTTATAATCCCCAGCTGTACTCGGAATTCTAAGTGTTGTCTGCTAGAGTATATTCCAGTGATGTCATGTGAAAGTCATGTGACAAACTAGCGAATTCCGTGTCAGCAGAAAAATTCTATGGAACACAATGTAGGCCAGATTCTTATGTTGTTTCAATGAATTTAGCAATAAATTACTCTTACGTTTTACTTATCTAATTTTGACAGTCTCTATTTGTTTTCAAATTAACTATGTGAAGACTATATGCCTGCCTGGATAAAATTGTCTTTGTATATGGATGAAAAGAGTTAGTTTCAGTACCTATATTTGGAATTAATACGGTTTGCTCGAACGTGATTAGCGCGTGGCAAAAGCGACGTATGCGTATGGGTTGATAATATTTTTTTTACCAGCATATCTATCTACGCCTCCTGTGTATGATATATTTTTTCATGAGATCTGTTTTTTAACCCTTTTTACATTTTTACAAAAACTTATTCATTTAATCGGAAGTTTTATCAGCAATTAAAGCCTGCTGATAATAATTGCTTTGCAGTTGGGTGGAATGCAGTAGGGTTATTCACCAGATGTCTAATTTGTCCTGAAACGTGAAACAGATAGCGGACATTAGTTCCAGTTAGTTGGTGAACTTAGGAATGATCAAGCGACTACACCATTTTATATTTACCTGCATTATTTCAGAAACTTCAGAAAGAGCAATCAAAGTAAAGGCATTCAAACCATTTCCTTCAAACGAACTGCCCTACAAATAATTTAAAACGTATAAAAAATATATTATATTTATTTATTTATTTATTTTTTTTTTTTAGTTTTCTTTTAGTATTGTTACGTTATTCATTTCTCTCGATAACGCTGCCTGTATGAGCATGTGAAACGTTGAGTTAATAAATGTCAGAAATAGTACATCCATATTTATATCTTGTGCTTCGTTACCTACTCCTATTTCTATATGTCTTATATTGTATCACACTACTAATGTCCGTAATATTAAAACAATTATCGGTCAAATATGTTATTTTCCTATACGCCTAAATCATGTAAAGATAAGATTATGTTATTCTATATTGCAAACTTACTATCTAAATAAATCTAAATAACACTGTATTTGAATTCAACTGAATCACTGGAAATCACCATGGGCCAAAACAGTCAACTCTGATCTTATGGAAATAATTTCCGCCGTAAAATGGTCATTAATATTCTTAACAATGTCTTATATACAAAAGTTCAATTAGACACCAATCAAAGATAAAATGGTCATACTTGCCATCACTCTTTTGCTTTTTTACGTCTAAAAGATTTGGAAATTTTATTAATGTGGGTTCAATATACCTTTAATTCTTTATGAATCATACGACCAGGTTCATTAAACTGAACGAACGTTATGTCACTTGTTGAAGATAAACATTGCTCATAACAGTCATCTCTGGTCCCAGGGCCACAAAACATTTCCCATGCTCAGCTCAGTTTTTACTCGAATTCCCTCACACAAGAAAAGGTAAAACTTTAAGATTAAAGCTATGTTGCGAGTAAGGAATAGAATAATACTATTTTTCCTTTGCTATATAGAGGATCTTAAACAAGTGCTAATGTAATATGAAATTTATGAAATGAGTTGCCAGATTTGATATTCCCAGAGCCTTGGCTTCAAATTTGAACAAAATCTCAGCTAGTTATGAAAAAGGGTTTGTGGCCTCTGAAGCCTAATCTTATGTAAATAATGTCTGTCGTGAAAATGTTATTATCATTCTAAACAATTTCTAATATACAATCAATGATAAAATGTAAATACTGACTTAAGCTCTGTGTACACTGGCAACATTTGCGTTTGACTTGGACAAGATGGCAGCCACCATGGACTGGAGATTGAGTGCTATAGAAGAGCTAATCAAAGTTTGGGAAAGTTGTCCCTGTTTACGAGACATCAAATCAAAAACTCACAAGGACAAGAATCTGAAGAAAGAAATTGCTGATTAATTTGATAAATCCATAGCCTGCATGGTCCACAGCCTTTTTTCTTTCGTCCACAGCCTTTTTTCTTTCGTCCTCTGTCTCCCCCTCCTCCCCAATATTACCGTAAAAATAACAGCAGCAGCCCCAACAACAAATCTTTTTCTCCTTGTGGGAGCCATTTTCTTCAGAAAATATGCTTTCCCGCCCATTTTCTGGACACATCTAGCCACAAGTATCTTAATTTGTATCCAAAATTGTTTCCTAGTCTATACAAGGCCTAAATTTTTGTGTTTGGTTGTATCCAATTGTATCCACTTGTTTTGTGTCCTGTTGTTTCCTGAAATGTTTACACTGCTTTACTTTTATACTTCTGATTACTGTGCAAATTTTATTTATATAATTCAAACGTACCTTTAATGCTTTACTAAAAACACGGCCAGGTTCATTAAAAGTACCGTCTTCATTCTGATTATTTATCAAGTAATTAACAGCATACTCTAATATTTTTTCATCAACATAGATGTATTGACGAGCTTCACTGAATGTTCTTACTACATAGGCTGTTAGCCTACAAATCAAAATACATTTTGAGAGCAAATGAAACTTAGTAAATCTTTCGAAATCAAGAACTGATAACTTCATAACGAAAGTGGACAAATCCAAATGACTTTCTTTGTCAATAATATATTATAATCAGGCCCGTAGCCAGCCAAGTACACTCCTCCCGGAAAACTTTGTGAATTATTACTCATAACAGTGGTGCTCTCTATATAGAGATTTTGCTATGTTTATTGCTGCCAAAGGCGCCCAGTGGAAGCCTGGGAAAAAGGATTTTTTGAGAATCTACCAGCGGGTTACAGGCTCGGGATTATTTGTCATATAACAAAGACTCCCCTTGACTTAGTAAAATGAATTAATGCATTTAAAAATAAGAATTGACATTTTGGGGGGGGGGGGGTGTATTTAGAGTGTAAATGATGATAAAGGAAATATCCTTTGTGAAAGGCCTCGTTGTTCATGGGAACTAATGTGTGAATGGAACCCAAATTAAGTATCAATGTATCCTAGATAAGCATGGTTTACACTCACCACTGACTACCAGAGCTATCTCCGTCACCAAACGCACTGAATGAATAATCATTTCGTTGATATCTCATTTCTCCACTGTAACCTTCAACAGAGTTAATACAATACAGTTGATACAGTAGAGATAATTCAGTAGAGTTAACACAATAGAGTTAAATAATAGAGATATTACAGTGGAGTTAATACAGTAAAAATAATACAGTATAAGTAATATATTATAGGTAATACAATAGAGTTAATATAGTAGAGTTTATACAGTAGAGGTGCTACAGAAGAGTTAATAAAGATAGCATAAATACAATAGAGTCAAGACAATAGAGTCAATACAATAGAGTCAATATGGTAGAATAGTAATAGTAATAGTAATAGCTTTAATACAGTAGATACTTAATAGTAGTTACAGTAGATAGTTAATACAACAGAGTTAATACAGTAAAATAACATACCAATTTCTAAATAATTCTTTATTTTGGTTTGTATAGCCGGGGTCAATTGTCCAGTACAATGAAGATATGCCCAGATATAAATATTGGGTACAAAGTTGATCATATTCTGTTCTCCACAACCATATGGCCTTTTGATCCATTTTTCAATATCCTGTAGAGCCGAGCTTAGTGGATCTCCTACAAATAACAATAAGCAGCATTTCTACAAAGATCCAGTTTTCAACATTTAGTTTACAATTAGAACTTATAATACAGTTTCATATTCCGATCAAATGTCCGAAGTAATTAATACTAATAATGACTTATAATATCCAAAACGGCAAACCATGAATGTAACACTAGCGCTCTGCAACATATCACGGTAATGACGAGCGGCCATATTTTGCAGGAAAATTATATTGTCACGTGATTCTGGTAATTTAAATATCAGAGCCTAGTCGTTCGGGACTACAAGTGTTTGTAAAAAAAATGTAATGACAACAAAAACTGTATAACATATCAATTTAAACTGATAATATGAGTATTTTGGCGCACCGATGGCCACAATATAACATTAAATGCAATAGTGATCGTCAGGTTAATCCCCAAAGGGTTCAAAAGGTAGGGACTAAATATAGGTTGCAATATCACGATCATTTAACAAATCATCCTAAAGACCGGAAGTAAAAAGTTTTGCCCAAGAAGGCACAACTCTGCCATATATATAGAAAAGACATATAGAAATAGAAATTTAAATTCAAAGTTAGAGGTATTTCTGGAGGAATTATGCGATTTTTGTAAATTTCAAGTGCTTCTGAAAACTATTCAAAAATATTCAATATTCAATTGAAAATAATTGACTCAATGATTCATTAGTGAGATAAGATAAATACCATAAGCAGTAACGACAACTTTCTGTGAATCTGGTACAACATTACTGGGATATCGTATTTCTACGCTTCTATTGAAATAATTCTGTTCAACCAAATCTACAATCACTACTTCATTGTATTCTTGTGATATTCCTTCAACCTATAAAGATATTGTTTAAAAATTGAGGTCTAAATAATTACGGTGATATACCAACAAGGTTGCCAGGCAATGTAATATACGCTCACTGTCAGCTTTGATTTTAAATAAAAAATATTTGGCAGCATAGTAACATACTCTTCTTTTGATCTTTTTGGGCGATTATTATTCTACCGTTTCGTCTAAATTCGGCAAGAATCGTGCCTTTTAATGTTTACGAGTTAAAAATTGAAAGCGTTTTCAAGACAAGAATAAGGTCAAAAACTATAATAAAATACTAAATATTTTTCCATTCTTCTGATTTTCAATAGGTATCATCCTTGGGTGATAACAAACACTCACACCAAGTTTCGTCAAAATCTGTCAAGAATTGGGCCTTCTAGAGTGTTACGAGCTTAATATTGAACGCGTTTTCAAGAACACGGGCAATAATTCAAACAACATATTTTTTTATTTTTCTGATTTTCAAAAAGGTTTATCCTTGGTTGATTACAAACACTCACACCAAGTTTTTCGTCTAAATCGGTCAAGAATTGTGCCTTCTAGAGTGTTTGCAAGCAAATAATTGAACGAGTTTTCAAGAACAAGGGCAATAACTCATACTAAATATTTTTCGATTTTACTGATTTTCAAAAGGTTTCATCCTTGAATGATCACAAACATTCACATCAAGTTTCATCAAAATCTGTCAATAGTTAAACCTTCTAAGAGTGTTTACAAGCAAAAAATTGAACGCATTATCAAAAACAAGGGCAATAACTAATACTAAGTATTATTCGATTTTTCTGATTTTAAATAGGGTTCATCCTTGGGTGATTACAAACATTCATGCTAAATTTTGTCAAAATTCATAAAGAATGGTGCCTTCCAGAGTGTTAACGAGCAATTGTGGACGGACGGACATGGGTTACGACAATATAGACCCCCCATTTCTTGTGGGCCTATAAAAAGTGGAAGTTTCAGGTCGGACATTTACTAAGCAAGGACGTAGAAAGATATTGAGGTAATAAACACGAAACACTTTACACCCGACTGTCAGTACAGATTCATTTACAGGAGGTGACAAATCTTAACTATTGAGTTGGATTCTGATGTTGGTTCATACGGATAAATGTTGTTTTTCTCATACATGTAATTCAATAACCCGTAAATTCTATAGTTATTCTATAATTATTGTTTTGATATATGTGACAACAAAATAGCTTACCTCAACGAACATTGGCTTTAAAATCCTGTCGCCAGCTTGTAATGTAACAGTTCGAGCATAAACCTGTAGATCGATATATCCAACTTCCAGAAATCTAACAGTAAAATAAGCAGTAGCAGCTCCATCTTTGGGTACCTAAAATAAACGAGGTTATACATGTTTAAAGAATCTAGTGCAATCATTAGCATTGATTATTTGGAAGGAATTTATAAATTAACTTACGTTTATTCTTGTGGTCTCTGTTACCATGGATTCGACTTCAAATCCGTCAGCATCAACTTGAATAATAACAAATCCTTTTGGATTTCCTAACATTACTTCAGCCTGAAGACATATTAAAGGTTATAAACAATGCTGCTGTATGTCGGGCTGATAGAAACACATATTGATGCAGCAGTTGAGATCTCTTTATTTGAAATCCCAGCTACAAGCGTGATATCGATTTTTGAAGCATCATTATTTTTCGAAACACCTGATGGTACTTTTCTTTGGATGAGTCCACTACTATACAACTTTACTCTCGATTTAGTCATACTTTAGAGGGGATTTGATTTAGAGAATTGTCTTTCTTGTGCGGATTTTTTTTGTATTGACACCAAAATACAGAATTAGATAAACGGACATGGTATCTGTATCATGCAATATTGACACTAATTAGTTTTTGATGAATGTCTTACACGAGCGCCTTGTCCACAAAAGTTTCAACATTTAGTAAAAGTAACTGGAAATTACATTTGGGTCTGGTAGAAAATTTAACATACTAACTTGAAAATTCAAAAAAAAAAAATGAATGGCCCTAATATGCTTCCGTACAAATGACACAGTGTTTCGTTATATTATCTCAATCTTATATAATAAATTCGAAACCATTATTGGTATTCCTTTACAAAACTTGTATTTATTGGACAAAAAATGAAGAGTGAAAACATGATTTTTTTGCGACAGTTATTAATTTAAACTCTCATGATCCGTAATAGTGAAAATGCAATAGTTTCTTTAATTTTCAACTCATTTTATAAAAAAAATTAACTTTGAAAGTTTCGAACCATTTCGAAGTTTAAAGAAAAGAGTGAACCTCATCCAATATTGAAAATGGTTTTCGACAAAAACTGCATGCCGGTTTGACGTACTCCACTATCGTACTGGTCCATGGGTTTATATAAAGTAATGTATGTTTTATGTTCTATTTTGCCAATATACAAACCTCTGTATCAAAACCAAGATAGTTAAACACACTGGCTTTTATAACCAGTTCTTCACCTCTAACAACAGAATAGGGCAGATTCAACATCACAAAAAACTCTCTAAACGCTGTCAGCTGCAAGAAAAGAAGTATCATCAACAGAATCTTAACAAAGTCAAGCTTCGTCTCATTTGGATGGATTGTACGTTAGTCCTCGACCAGGGAAATCTAATAAAATACCACCTGAACGAACCGGACAGACAATATCTCGTCATAGAAAAATGGAATTCGGGCGATTTCTGCTGAAATGGTTGCTATATTGAGCATTTATTCAACTAAAAATGTGAAATTATAGTAATTATTTTCAGCATAATAATATTTTACAAGTAATTTTGAACAAATTGGTATTCGAAATCTGTTCAATCTGAAAAGCTGTAATTTGGTGAAAATATGTCTCATATCACTAAAAATATGAGGTCAAAATATTATGATCATAGCTTTGATACTTTATGAAAAATCCTGAATTGAAGAGTATTAATGTGTTTTTTTCTGGGCCACCAGATATTATCTTGGTGATTATTTGTTTGAAAATTTATACTCACCTCAGCTACGTCTGACGTCATACCAACTCCTATTGAGGGATTTGGACTGATAGCAAAAGCACTGGCAACCCACGTTGTGATAGTGTCTGGTACTTTTAATGTGAAGTTGGCGATCCCTGTAGAGCTGTAATAGATCATGAAAGATCTATATAAATTATAAAACCAATCTATTGCAATTTATCTGTCTATATTCAGGATGGAGTTTAAAACATCATCAGAATAAAGCCCGATATAAATGCTTTAGTTGCCAGGTATCTTTTTTTTTAACCTCTGGGTACAAACAGTTATAACTCGCGTGGAGTGCAATCTCACCTTCAACGTATACAAAACTTTGTTAATTAAAGCGGGTAAGATACCCTTTTTGCAGATGGGTTTTGAGAATTTGCAGGAGAATAAAAGTATCATTTTCAGTGTTTGTGGATAACGTGTTCTTTATCAGTCAATATCATTGGCTTTGACTATACCGATCTGATTCGATTTGATCATAGTATACTTCACTAAACATATGTGATCTTGGACTTCTTGACCTCTTGAGTGTCACTAAAGTTTAAAGGTCAAAAATGTTTGTGAGACGAGTTTGACTGATTTTACGAATTCACTGCCAGTGAACCTCCTATAGACCTGTTATAAAATAATAAAATAATATCTAACCCAGCATTTTGTGACTCCCAAATCCATGTTTCTGGAAAGAATGATCTAGCAGAAACTTCCTCATCAAAATTCCTGGAGGCAACATCGGGAGCTTGCCCTGGTGGTAATTGTTGCGGACCCTCAGTAGCTGATGTCCCAGCTGGATATGCTGTACGAGTATTTAAGAGTTATATTGCTGAGGTAATGAATGTATGAAACCATCATTTATATTTTTTATGGAGTGTCAGCAATTATATGAATTCTATATAAATTTGTCCAGTTTCATGACATCTGACACCCAGAAGATCGAATAATTTCCCCAAAGATATGGACAGGTTGAGTTAGATAGGAAATTCAAATTCTGACTTAGTTCTACATGTACAGAAATTCATTGAAATTATGATTTAAGTTAATCAATCATCTCTTTGTGTACTGAATTTTCATTTTTGTTTTCAGAATTTGATTTTTGTTTATATATTTACCATTTACGGAATACTGTATATCGTAATTCAAGAGCCAAAAATTGCAAATACAGAAACAATAATGTTAATAGTGAAGTGTTTTAAAAGATAATATACTTATTTACCATAAAAACGCCGACATAGTTCTGGTGCTTGGTATTTATAGACTAAGGCATCAGATATAATATTTAAACCAGTATACTATTCAAGAAAGATAGAAACGTTAGATTTGAAAATCATATGACGATAGCTTAATATGTATTACAATTGAAATGAACAATACCCCCCCCCCCCCCCCCCCTCCTCATTCTTTTAGAATCTGTCATGGTTGCCTATAATAAAATGAACTCAAACGCTCAAAACGAACTCAAACGCTCCAAATGGGAAAACGGGAATCTTACAAAAATGTCATTATAATTATAATATAACGTACTCTGAATATGTCATCAACATCGGTTCCAGATGTGGTATAAGCGTATGGCCACCATACTGATCGTTTAGTACGAGAAAGTTTTTCAGATCCACTCCTCTTTCTAAAGAGAGCTTCCCTCTTCTTTCTATAATAATTCCTACTGCTAACTTTGTCTAAGAATTCTTTCACCTAAAGAATACAAATATAGGGAGTTGTCAAAACCCTCTTGTAAATCTTATACCACAACAACACCTCTTCATATTTAAACATTTGAAAATAAGTTTGACTTCGTCAACATGATTTTAAGAAATATAGTCATCTTATCGTAAGTTTAGGTAACTGGAATTGGTTATAGTTGGCATTCTTTTTTTGGGTCCTACAAACTTAAATCGATGCAGAGATCACACTAAGTCATATTACCAATCATACCTTAGTCTCACCTTAGTCTTTTTAAAGCTAAGTCAATCAAAAAGTGTTCACTGCTAACAGTCGAAATATGAGCCTTTTTATTCAGTTAAAAAGACAAGTCGTCTGTTCTTGAGACACTGTTATATATAGAAAAGACATCTATAGAATAGAAAAAGAAATTCCTAGCTTAAGATAATTTTAAAGGAATTATGCGATATTTGTATATTTTTAGTACTTCTGAAAACTATTTACATAATTATATTTATTGTCTAATACTTATCGTGGTATCATCTAGTTGAGGTGTAAATTTCCTGTGACTTACCTCTTGGCTGAAATCATCTGATGCTTCTCCAAGTAAAGTGGTGCTTTTATCAACAGCTACAGCATAAACATTAGAATTTCTGTAAGCTTTAACACTGAGAGTTGATATGGATCCAGTTTCTACTTTATCCGAATCGAACATTAACGATACCTAAGATAATAGAAATTTACAATGATGTACAACATGTTTTTGAGCTTGATTTCAAGAATTGCTAATACAGACCCTAGCTTGTCACCACAATGGAAAAATTCTACTCGTAGTAATTCAAGTCAGCAACAACTGCTCAATAGGTGATAAAAACGAGGTGAATATTCTGTATACCCGATTCTCACCTTGTTATTGTAAAAAAATCCCTCAACATTAAATGAGATAGCATCAGCAACAATTTCTTTATCTTCCACTCTAATAAATACTATGATTTTAAGCTTTGGTGCCATATCGCTAGTTACGGAAAAGCTGAGAATTTGAGATTTACTTGTTGTACTGAAATCTTGGTGATTTTCTGTGATCAGCACTCCTCGAGACAGAATCTGTAAAACAAAATGACATATTATCCATATGTTTAATTATGGATCTTGTTGGAAGAACAACCGATAGAATTCATTAATCCTACACTCACGCTTGCATGGATTTCGAAAAGCTTACAAAGTGTTAGCTTTAACTAGATTATATTACTAGTTAATTTGGCTTTCCTTGTCTGTATATTAACATATTCATGTTAGTATTTTATCTATAAAATGTTTAATTGGCAACCCCTTTAACTATTTTATTTTCTCCTTCGCAGAGTGAGTTTAAGTATAAATGAAGACATTTCGATTTTGCTTCGTACAATGAGTTTAAGTGTAAATTAGTTTAGGTCAGCACTGGTCAGATTAACCCTTTCAATACCTGTGATTGGTTTTCATCTTGTTTTCATTATATCTGTTCGTTAATAGTGAGTTCATTATTTTACTGGTTACAGACGCGTACAGTCTTATTTTTGCCCTCCCGCCCTATTTCCCTGAATTTGAATTCTTTGTTTTTGAATTAGATTAAGTTCTTTTGTGATATTTGTTCATTTTGTTCTTTGGCGGATTAGATTAAGTTCCTTTTGTAATGTTTGTTCATTTTGTTCGTTTTTAATTATTTAAGAGTTTGTAATTTGTAAAATTTGAGTATATTTTGGCCACAATGATTAAGGTATTCATTTACTTTACTACTGTTTTGTTATTGGGGTTCGGAATTCTACATTTTTATATGTTTATGGAAACTGTTTAACACTTAATTTTCTTCGTGTATTAATTTAGACCTGATAAAACTTCTCGGTGTTCCCGATGTTTAGTGTTAAAATCTATATCTACTTTTTAACTCAAGCTTACATCTTATATAAAATCAGACGTTAATCTACATTGAATTTCATATTTGAAGTCACCAAAATTAGATAATCATCCGAATATTAGATTGTTTATCTGCTATATTTCTTGCAAAACATGAAGTATTAATAAAGCGGTTATCTCACAGGTTCTTATATAACTCTCCAACTCTTTATTACTAACCTGGACTCTATTACTTACTGTGTAATAAACTCTGCTAAATTCTCGAGTAGCTTTGAGTTCGAGCTCAACTTTTTTTCCAGACGCTGGTTTGTTAGTTTTAAGAGAGACAGACAAGAATGTGTTGCTCGGGGATTTGAAAGATGTTAGAGTCCTTGATGTATATACGTCAGTATCTTCTACATAATATACCTATAAAATCAATTAATAAAGAGAGTATTAAGGCAAGATAACATAAGAGTGAGAACCCGAATTTCAAATATTCATTAAATGTTTTAAACTAAAAGACAGTTAAGATTTATATGACAGATATGGTCCTCGACGCAGAAATCAGATACTTGTGTGATGATACAACCTTGTCTGAAAAGTTTTCAATAGTTTCTTTAAAACCATCTAATACAACCGAAGATCAACCGACCATATTACTGTTCATCCAATAATTGCCAATTCTCAAAATGTTTTATCTATATAAAATGTTTTGTGCTGTTATGCCAGAGCATCTGATTGTCAGATTGTTTACCAGTAGAATGATCTACATATTTATAATCTGATATAGTCGTCTAAATATTTTTTCAGTTTCAGTTATTCATGTAACTTTCTAATCAACTGGCCTAACCAGACTAAAATTGCGACAGTCAATAAAACAATATGCAGAAATTCTTTGTGTGAACGACTGTACATTTACTAATTATAAAAAAATACTTGAACAAATATTGTGTTTTTAATATTATTACTATTTCTTGTTCACAGAAATAATAACGCTAGATTGTCTTACCTTTAGATAAACCTCAACAGAATCGGTTTCATTCACCAATAAATCATACGTCACTAGACCGTTGGCTGGTACAGTCAAATTTTTTTCTGGTAAATTTTCATATCTATATTGTGGATCCTTACAGTTAGGGTCATACCACCAAGGCGGGTAGCCATAGCGACCATAGCCCCAGCCATAATGACCATATCTCCATCGAGGAGTAGTAGGAGGAGTTGGCGTGGATGAGTTGTCCGAGTTCTCGGATGGTGGTGGTGGTTCTGTAGCTGGTTCTTCTGGTATGAGGATTTTAACCCTGGAACTTACAATAATATTACCTGGTTCCAAAACTGGTTTGCCATCCATCTGCTTGAGTTCAATCTGAAAAGATTTTGTTATTTATGGTATTTTATATTGGGAGGTTTGAGTGTTTTTCTTTTTTTTATAGCGTTAATAAATATGCATTGTTTTTGCAAATACTCATTCGTACGAGCAGGGAAAACCTCTATTACATATACTTCAATTGTAACATCGTCGAACGCAATAATTCCAACATTAAGGGTCATATTATTTAATGCCTAGCTGTAAAGTTCGTGGTACACAATGGACTAACTTATTTGGTCACGGATTGCCTGGAGACTAATAGCATGTTCTTATTAAAAATTCAGGTACTTTTTCGTAAAATTTAAACCATTCCTTCTAGCGAAGTACTATAGAGTACTAGATTTCCACTAGATTTTCCTTTCTGGAATGAGATATTGAGATTAAATTAAACTGTGGTTACTTTCATCAGTTAGAGGATACAGTACAAAATAATATTTAATTATCCAGACTCCCAATTTTCAAACTTAAAGTAATTCGTTAGCAAAACACACGGAATTCTGAATTTTACACCCAACGCAAAACTTACATAGAATCTGTTAACAAGTGCAGGCTTGTAGTTCTGTGGATTTAGAACAAAGCTTAACTTTTCTCTAGTCCTAGTCACTGAAATTTGACTGGTTTGAGAGATGTACGTCGCTCCAGTTGCGTCATCAGTCACATTTACTTGACCAATTATTGTCTTGTAGGAAAGATATCTTCCATAGGCTATTGTCTTTAATTTTTCTGTTGTAATAACAGTAGTACCTTTCCCATTTTTATCCAACTAAAAAAATAGACATTTAATCAACCTGTAAATATTCAAAGAGAGCATGTACATATAATGTTTACCGGACCAGGCTTCACTGACGAGAAATAGTGGTAAAGTCTAGTGTAGATCTGCTAAAAAAGTATTATTACTCTGGTTCATGAAATCAGGATGAAAGTTGTATTCGAAGTTTAATCATCCACACAAAATGTGCTGCCTGTAAGATTATTGTCGTTTGTGTCACGTCCTTTTTTATTCGCCCTCATGAAATGGGGGCGTATATTGCCGTCACCCCTATCCGTCCGTCCGTCGTCCGTCCACAATTGCTCGTAAACACTCTACAAGGCACAATAAATTCTTGACTGATTTCGACGAAACTTGGTATGGTTGTTTGTAATCACCTAAGGATGAACCCTATTGAAAATCAGAAAAATCGAAAAATATTTAGTATGAGTTAATGCCCTTGTTCTTGAAACGCTCGTAAATACTCTAGAATGTGCAATTTATGACGGATTTTGATGAAACTTGGTGTGAGTGTTTGTTATCACCCAAGGATGAACTCTATTGAAAATCAGAAGAATCGAAAAATATTGAGTATGAGTTATTGCCTTTGTTCTTGAAAACGCGTTCAATTTTTAGCTTGTAAACCCTCTAGAAGGCACAATTCTTGGTGGCTTGACTGTTTGTTATCACCCAAGGATAAAGCCTTTTGAAAATCAGTTAAAAAACGAAAATTTTTAGTATGATTTATTGTCCTTGTTCTTGAAAACTCGTTCAATTTGTAGCTCGTAAAAACTCTAGAAGGCATGATTCTTGTCGGATTTTGACAAAACTTGGTTTTATTATTCAGTACCGCGCTGAAGATTGAACATTTGCCTTTTAGAGTTTTTACGAGCTAAAGAAGGGCAATAACTCATACTCAATATCATTTTACCTTGCCTGGCAATTTTAGTACCGGTTCGTTTACAAAATGATAACTAGATAAATGATAAAACTTATAATATTTTGAAGTGCAAGGGAACTTGACTAGGTATGTACTAGGTAACAACTCTAATATACACCCTAAGAAATCTGTTCTCTCTCTGTTAATACTAGATTGTTTCGTGGTTAATTGACAACAAGAAGCTGTCTCTCAGTTTGAATTCCATCAAAATCACTGCCGATTGTATTTTGTATTTGCAAGCTTCGATCTTTTAATTAACCAAAAAGAAAACAACAATGTGTTGCCTTTAATGATTTTTCCAAGGCTTTCGATCAATAAAATTAAGTGAATTGATATATGTATCAAAATGTTCAGCAAAAAAAATTGCATATTCAATACACACTCTTTCAGATCATGGAGTAAAACAATGAACAATCTGCCTTTTCCTTGTATTAAAAGAGAGTGTGTTTTCCTAAATAAACATGTATTTGATGCTATTATTTTATGCCATATAGTTTTGTCATCATTTATTGTTAATCATGCTATGAAACAATGTTCAGACTGTATTGTTTTATGGCGTACTGTAACTGTACTGTGACTTAAAGAGGTTGTAAAGAGGTTTTCTTAACAATTTATGTGTATTTAGGTCATTGATAGAATCAACTTGCACAATTTTAATTTCTAGTCAGGGGTCTATGGTTCCTGCAATTCCACTGTTTTATGATATCAGTAATCGTAAAGGACAAGCATGATTTGCAAGAATTGCAAGAACCCCTCACGTCTGACTGAAATTTGAATGGTGCAAATTGATGATATCAGTGTCCCCGATACACATCCAAATTTTTAGAAATCTCTTTACAATCTTTTCCAATAACCTAGTACGAAAAGAAACTATTGTATTATAAAAATGCGAAGACTGTAAAGAGTAACTGGAATTTACCTGCATGTCATATATAAGTTCAGGCTGGGTCAGATCAACGTAACCATATTTTCCTGTATCTGGATCTTTTTGATATTTTCTTTTAGGATAATAGTTAACAATTATCCTTAATCTAGCAGATCCATTTACTGGCTTACCAAACGTATATCTACAAAGATTTCAGAAGGCGAAGTTACAGTTAAAAAATGCCATGGTAATTCATTGTTTCTATGGAAAAGTATTATCAGCACAATTCAGATAAGTGAATACATTTTAAAATTAGAAAAAAAACATTAACGCTGATAAAATAGTGCTTAATAGATTAATTTTGGGGCTACATGTATTAATCAAATTCATTCATGAAAGAACACTTATATATATTATTATATATCTGGTGGCTCACAAAAAAACGATAACTCTTTTCAATACATTATTTTTCATAAAGTATCAAAGCTATGCTGATAATAATTTGACTTCATATTTATATAGATATTAGACATCACTTTACCAAAGTGATATTTTATTCCATTTCTCTCTAATTCTGTCCGTCAGTTCCTCCTTATCTCCATTGTTAATTTTGTTATCCAGAGAAAACATACTGTAAACTATCTAATTGCAATGAGGAGTTTGGGTTGGTCTTTCATATTTTGTATGAAATACTCCAAAGTTCAAAAGGCAAGTTTATCATGGAAATAGCTTTTGGGGGTTTATTTTTGCTGAAAATTTCGTCCAAGTTAGTTCAATGAAAGAGAAGAAATTACAGTATTTACTTTCGGCATTATATTTTTTGATAAGGGTTTTTAAAACGGCTTATATATCAAAATGGTTCAACCTATAAAGATATAATGAACAGATGTCTAATATCTCTATCAAACTTACTGAGATGAAACTTGTACTGTAATCGACTTATCCTTCTGACTTACAATATACGGCATTATAACTTTAGCTTCAGCTTTAGGTAAAACTTGAAAGAAAGCAAACTGTGGATGAGTTAATGTATTGAAGAACCTTGCTAGGAAAACTAATAATATGATTCTCTATTCTATTCTTCTTATGATTTAAGTCCCCAAAAAGTATTTGACTAAAGTAATAACTGTGGCGGTCTAAGCTAAAAAGACAAGCTAAATTTTGCAATTCAACAACTGGGTTTTATAAGCTTTGCATCTTTAATTTTTTGAATTTTCTAGTTGTTCTACTCGATGGACAACACCGGTATGCTATTGAAAACAGTTACTATAAATAATCAATTTGTTCAAGATAGTGTTAATATATGTAAAAATACCACAGGCAGCTTGAGTTTTCCTCTAATATTAACTATCTGCGATACAATCAGAAAACAATGGAAATTCGTTGAAATGAGGATCTTTCTCGGGAATTAGTCAAATAATATTATATATACATTCAGTTATTGTTTACACAAATTTCAGATAACTGTAGTATGTTTATGTTTACATACCATATTTCAGACAACTAATATCATTTTTCAGATTTTTGATAATTTGTGTACATACCATATTTCAGATAATTAATATCATATTTCAGATTATTTGTAATTTATGTATACATCACAAATTTCAGATAATTGATAGTACTATATGTTTACATAAATGTATGTTAGATAATTATTAACATTTTTGTGATTATTGATATTTCATAATTCATGAAAATTTAATATATTTCAGATTATTGATAATTTGTTTACAAAATATATATTTTAGATAATTGATAGCATAATGTTAACGTAACAAATTTCAGTTTATTGATAGCATAATGTTTACAAAACAAATTTCAGTTTATTGATAGTATAATGTTTACATAACAAATTTCAGTTAATTGATAGTATAATGTTTACATAACAAATTTCAGTTAATTGATAGTATAATGTTTACATAACAAATTTCATTTTATTGATAGTATAATGTTTACATAACAAATTTCAGTTTATTGATAGTATAATGTTTACATAACAAATTTCAGTTTATTGATAGTATAATGTTTACATAACAAATTTCAGTTTATTGATAGTATAATGTTTACATAACAAATTTCAGTTCATTGATAGTATAATGTTTACATAACAAATTTCAGTTTATTGATAGTATAATGTTTACATAACAAATTTCAGTTTATTGATAGTATAATGTTTATATAACAAATTTCAGTTTATTGATAGTATAATGTTTACATAACAAATTTCAGTTTATTGATAGTATAATGTTTACATAACAAATTTCAGTTTATTGATAGTATAATGATTACAATTGATAATTTGTATACATACCATATTTCTCAATTTTAAATGTCTGTGTATGCTCCATTTTCTGTGAATTTATACAAATAATTATTAAAACATGAAGACAATTGTTGAGAAAGTAAATAATAAGGTGTGCAGTTAGAAGAAAATGCAAATTAAGTTCACATGGCTAAAAAGGAAGCACGTTATAACAGATATAACGTTTAGTTAGGAGACCATGAAATCGAGATGTTCATCAAAAACTGTACAAGCCAACATATAAACAAAAAATAGATTTAAAAATTTTTTAAAATGACCAAACACTTGAAAATTACACATTTGTTAATCATGCAGAGAGGTGAAATAAGTAAAACTATTTATCTCTTCAAATTTCAAAACTGAATAGAATTTATTTTGACCAAATGATGTAAGTTTAAAAATAATTAAAAGTATGTTTATGATAAAGATTTTAAGAAATACATATGTTTCTGTTTGTTGAGATGATTCAAAATAGCGTCGTTTACAAAGCAAAGACAAAGACTAAGACAATTTATAATTTAATAAGACAAAACAGTTTTTGCCAACCAATACTGGCCCAGTGATGTATCTATGTCATCAAGATCGAGTAATTTTTTACCTTTACTGTCGCTTTTATTTTCCATGCTCCAAATATTGGTTCCTTCGGAAGCTTTAAATCCCTTTCAATTATACAATAGTCATCTCCAGCAGAAGTGTATAAATGAATTTTGTTTCTCTTGGGGTCCTTGAAAATAAAATCATGATTTCAAACTCGTAGAGTGAATTTGATAGACAAAAATGTAAAATCGGTTGAATGCAATTATTCGTGGAAGATTTTTACATTCCAGATTAATATTTTTTCTTTCGTAAAAAAGCATTTATTAATCAACAACAATACTACTCATACAACACGTGTTCCATGATATAATTTTACAGATGATCGGGACAACAAGCCTCTGATATCAGTGATATACAAATTTACAACCTCATCTTATGCAAATGTGATCAGATCTAAAACAAAAACTAGTACTTTCAAAAGCAAAGAATTGAGTTATCACATCTTAAACCTAAGATCATGATATATACTTACTGTGACAGTAACGGTATAGTTAGAACATACCACTTGTAAATCCGAGCGAACACCAAATACCCGATATTTTACTACAATAAAGATCATATAAACTTATCATTTGAATTGAATTGATTCATAGGAGCACAAAAGGAATGTCACTAATGGTTCAGACAATTCATACCCCTATTGCCAGTAAAAGTGAAGAAAACTTGATAATAAAGCAGTACACATGAACAACCAAAACGAATTTTCACGTGGTCCAAATCTGGTTTGGCTGGATGTATAAATTATATTTATTACAATAAATAATTCCTCTGATAAGCTTTTAAATTTATAAGGAAGGTAGTACCTGTTTGCCCTGGTTTATACACCTTTTTATCAGTTTGTATGATGATTTCCATATTTCTGCTGTTCACACTCAGATATTGACGATTATTAAACGTAGTTTCACCAGTACCCGTCAGAATAAGATAGATGCTCCAAGAAGTTAAATTACATGGAACCTAGTTAGATAATATGAAATGAAATACACGCCCAGTCTAATTTGGATCTTCAAGCCTTATCCAGGTAAAAAAGACTCGTTAGAAATAAATCAAGTGGAAGTCTTTTGAGATATCCTTATTGTTATTGTTCATACCTTCATGCTGTTTCCAATACAAAATTACAGAACTTGAAAAATAACATACCTGTAACGTAACGGTGTTTGTATCGCCAGGCACTGGAATATAATTTAAACTTATTTACTGTTAGTATAGAATGTTGGTATTGGATGGTGTTGATGGTATAGAATGGTGGTATAGATGATGCGCCACAATGTTATTATTTCTATTTTGTTTTTTCATATATTATACTTTTGTCTGGTATAGCTCTCCATATAATATACTCATTATTCCTGTCTGACTTCCGGTTGAGAATATATTTTTTGTTGTTTTCCTTAATTCTTTAAGTTTAACGTCCAATAAACTGTCGGTAGTATAGAATAATGGTGGTATAGAATGATGGTGGTATAGAATGATGGTGGTATAGAATGACGGTGGCATACAAGGACGATATAAAATGATGATACAGAATGATGGTGGAACATAGAAAGGTGGTATAGAATGATGGTATAGAATGGTGGTATAGAATGACGGCGATTCAGAATAATGGTTGTATAGAATGATGGTGGCATAGAATGATGGTACAGAATCATGGTTGTATAAATGATGGTATAAAATGAAGAAAAAATCAAGAATGGTATAGAATGGTGTTGGTGGTATAGAATGATGGTACAAAATGGTGATAAAAATGATGGTGGTATAGAATGGTCGTATAGAATCATGATTGTATAGAATGATGGTGGTACAGAATGATGGTTGTATAGAATGGTGGTGATATAGAATGATGATTGTACAGAACGGTAGTGGTGTAGAAAAAAAATGAAGAAAAAATCCAGAATAGTATAGAATGGTGTTGGTGGTATAGAATGATGGTACAGAATGCTGGTATAAATGATGGTGGTATAGAATGATGGTTTTATAGAATGATGGTAGTAGGCTACATAATAGAATGATGGTAAAGGATTGTGGTATAGAATGATGTTGGTACAGACTGGTGGTTGTATAGAATGATGGTGAAATATAGAATGATGGTACAGAATCATGGTGGTATAGAATGGTGGTATAAAAAAAGAAAACCTTAGAATGGTATAGAATGGTGTTGGTGGTGTAGAATGATGATACAAAATGGTGTTAAAAATGATGGTGGTATAGAATGGTTGTATAGAATCATGGTATAGAATGATGATTGTATAGAATCATGGTGGTATAAAATGATGGTACGGAATGATAGTGGGTCTTAAAATGTTGGTATGGAGTGGTGGTATACAATTATGGTGGTCCAGAATGATGGTTGTATAGAATGGTGGTGACATAGAATGATGATTGTACAGAATGGTAGTGGTGTAGAATGGTGGTATAGAATGATGGTGGTTCAGAATGATGGTTGTATAGAATGGTGGTGGCATAGAATGATGATTGTACAGAATGGTAGTGGTGTAGGATGGTGGTATAGAATGAGAAAAAATCTATAGAGTCTTGAGTTTGAAATAAATATATTTGTGCTAGCCCTTTAGAGAGTAATACACTTATACACTAATACTAATACACTAATACCAAATACTTACATATTTCAGTGGTAATTGAAGAAATTGTATTCCCACTATAGGAACGTTGAAGTTCCGCCTTCAATGTGTAGGAATGGTTGCCAAAGGCTCGGGCACTAAATGAATACGGAGCACATGATTGGATCGACTTTGGAGTCAGAACCATATATCTGGCATCTTGACACCTAAAAAGACGCATTTTGGATCAGGGTTTTTTAATTAGTAAAGAAAAGCAATTTCCAAGTATAGGGCCTACTCATCAATGAACAGTCGAATTTTATACGATGTAAATAATACAATGACTAGAAAGGGATACAACGAAGGCATAATAAACTACACTTCCAGTAATCCGAATAGCATCGAAATGACACCTTTGGTTCTCCTACAGAGAAAAAAGATAGCTTGTCAGGCAAGATAACATACGCCCACTGGCAGCTGTAAGAAATGATAAAAAGTACGAAAGTACGAAATGACTATAGTACGAACTTTCTCGTATTAAAGAAATTTTATTAGTTTGAATTCAATGATATATATATTGACTGTCAGTTATTTATGCAATTCCACAAAATATTTTAAAATCAATATCAATAATCCACATACATCAAATTATTAAATCACACAGCTCTAATATCAAGTGAAAAAAATTGTTAAGAGTGAAATCGTTGAAAATTCAAACTTAACCAAGATCTCATCGATATAAATAAAAAGACATAAACAACCCCATTCATTTCATTTCATTCTAAAACATGTGACTTGGGAATTCCGAAAAAGTTGCAATGGTGTGCGTGAACAAACGTGCATGATTCCGATAAACCTTTAGAATAAGGCGACCAAGCCAATTATTAGCCCATTCAAAGAGTGAGTAGATTTGCTAATATTCTAGTCTATTATGTATGCATTTTATGTAAATTTAATTAATTTGCTTTGTAGACCACGTAAACCTAGGCCTAAGCCTAAACTCAATTGTTATCAAAGATTTTCATTTATATTTTCAGTTGACTACTAAACTACCATATTACTAATTTCTGCAATACGAAAATCCATATTTGAAAATAAATATTGAAGATTGGAAGCTTGTAGTATATTGGGGTAGTACAATCCTAGGAACTAGGCACCCTTCACTTCGTCTCTGATAAAATTCAGAACAAGGGCAATAAATCAAAAACCGTTTATCGAAAGATCGTCAAATTCGAACTTGACCGGGATCTCATCAATATAAATGATCACACCAAATGTCATTAAAATCATTTGAAAACTATAGTCTCGATTGTCTTCAAGGGCAATAACTCAAAAACAGTTCATCAAAAAATCTTCAAATTCGAACTTGACCAGGATTTCATCAATATAATTGATCACACCAAATTTCATTAAAATCAGTTGAAAACTGTAGTCTCTAATATATTGTGTCCACAAACAAATTTTGACGCGTTTTTCCTAAGTCAAGGGCTATAACTCAAAAACAGTTCATCAAAAAATCTTCAAATTCGAACTTGACCGGGATCTCATCAATATAAATGATCACACCAAATTTCATTAAAATCATTTGAAAACTGTAGTCTCTAATATATTGTGTTCACAAACAAATTTTGACGCGTTTTTCATTAGTCAAGGGCTATAACTCAAAAACAGTTCATCAAAAAATCTTCAAATTCAAACTTGACCGGGATCTCATCAATATAAATGATCACACCAAATTTCATTAAAATCATTTGAAAACTGTAGTCTCTAATATATTGTGTTCACAAACAAATTTTGACGCGTTTTTCCTAAGTCAAGGGCCATAACTCAAAAACAGTTCATCAAAAAATCTTCAAATGCGAACTTGACCGGGATCTCATCAATATAAATGATCACACCAAATTTCATTAAAATCATTTGAAAAGTGTAATCTCTAATATATTGTGTTCACAAACAAATTTTGACGCGTTTTTCCTAAGTCAAGGGCTATAACTCAAAACAGTTCATCAAAAAATCTTCAAATTCGAACTTGACCGGGATCTCATCAATATAAATGATCACACCAAATTTCATTAAAATCATTTGAAAACTGTAGTCCCTATTGTATCAAGGGCAATAACTCAAAAAGAGTTCATCAAAAAATCTTCAAATTCGAACTTGACCAAGATCTCATCAATATACATTATCACAACAAGTTTCATTAAAATCAGATAAAAATTTTAGTCTCTATGGTGTTCACAAGAAAATGTTGACGGATCGAATGACCAACGGACCGACGGACGGGGGCAACGGCAATATACCACCACATTTCCATGTGGGCGTATAATTATTAAGGTCTGAACAATTTTCTCATTGTAAAAATTGAATATAAGAAGAAAGAAAACAACCAATGATCTTCTAATTAAACCAAGACTTCTAAGGGTACTTTGGTGAGAGATTTCCCATGTACCACAGATGTGAAATCTACGACAATTGAGATGAAAGGAAAAAACTGCTGATTAGGTTGTTGTAAGATTATGTCAAATTTTATTTTCAAAATTCTGAAATATATTTTTCTATAGGAATGATTTTTGTCAAGAGAAATAACTCCAATGTAAAAAGGTTTTGCCTTTATTTCCCACAATTCTGTGAGATAGTGACTTTCAAGAAATGTATTGAGGTGGATGCATATGAAATTCATACCGAAATAACAATGTTTTAAGGGTATTTATAAAGGAAAAACTATGAAATGTAACTTACAAACATCCACTGTAAACAACCAACAGGATGGTTAATACTGATATATATTTGACTTCCATTCTGTAAATAAATTAATATTTGAACACAGTTGATTTTAACATGTTCTTTTATGTTATAAGCATGCTGTAACGCAAGTACCAACTAAAAATGTAACTGTTTAAATTAAATGAGAGTTACTGTTCGAACTAAAAGCTTACACTAAATTATTTACACATTTAAACTCAGGACAAGTTAAGGTTTAAACCTATAGAAGGAGTCTGTTAAGAAACAGACACTCGTACATAACTCAGGGGTTGTAAGATAACTGCCAAAAAGTAGCTGCCAAAAATTATCTGACAATATAATACAGATCACAGGAGTAATCAGTGCCACCACAACCATATATTTTGATGACCTAATGATGATGCTAAGTCATATATAACCTTAGATATGGTGACTTGGATGATTAAAAAGGCTTTTGTGATCACTTTGAAAATCACAGATGGAAGCGAAAAATTGTACGACAATGTTATAAACACTACAGGTGAAATATTTACCACCAAAAACATTTATTTTGATGACCTTACATATTTCATTGTGGCAGCCATCTTAAAAATCTTTGCCAAGTCATTGCCTATATTTTCTGAAAGTTTGGTACTTTTGTCCGGCAAATTATTTCACTAAGGTAGCCTACTAAGTCGATATATCAATGATTGGAATTCTCAACAATATCTTGATACAATTTTGATTAATATGAAAATAGTTATGCTTTTGACAATTTTTTATTATCACTGATTCCAGTTTCAAAAACACACGATCTACCTGCTTATAATATTATTAACTTATTCATGTCATACTAAGTAAGTTTGTGAAGACTATTAATATGCTCTCCTGCCAAGAGAATTTAACTAATAAAATCTTACCTGCTGATACAAGATGGAGTTATCTGTTTTAGATGTTATTTCAGTATTTTATAAGAATAAACAACAATACATCTGTCATTGTTGTCAATTATACTTCATTTATTCACAAATATACACCAAAAGTTAAAAATTATTTTTGAAAGTCGACTATATAAGAAATTATCTTTTAAAGTGGCCTACACACATGAAATCGATACAAAAATAAAAAAACATGACTTCTTTTACCACAAGATCTGGAAATTTATTTAAGAATATTTTATCTTAGTAACATGGTTATTGAACCGTTTCTGTTGGTGGATCATCTCTCTGGAGGTCCTACCTGAAATAAAAGATTCCTGTTGCCAAGAAATAATATATACTTGATCACAAACTTCGGCACTTATTCCACAATAGACGTATCGTTACAACATTTGCGTCTCTGCTCGGCCTCAAGTACTCCGAAACATCTGCCTCTGATATAGAAGTTTTGACAGTTATCGGCAGTACACAAGCCAACAACTTAGGATGGAATAGCGGCAGATGTTTCGGTCAAGGCCTCAATTTTGATTAACTTTCCACTAATATCTTGGTCTCAATAAACTATTTACATTAGACGTGTATATCATACATAATATATCTAAGCCAGGATATCAAGCTAATTTCATGTAATATCTAATCTACCACAGTAAAATCTTTGAAGCTGACTGAATTGATTTTAAGTGTGAATACAGTTTTAATACCTTTTGAGATGGATCGGTTTCAGGTTTGGTTTCCTCAGCTGGTTGGATTTATTTATAGCATATACTTTCAAATACCCGTTTCTTTACCTCCCCACATTTTTAGTTTAGTTTGCACTGGTCTTTAATTACGATTTTGTTTTTTGAAATTTTGAAAGTTTTACATGTATATATATTATTTCTGTCAATTGTCTATGTAGAGCAAGTGATAAATTAGGTTGTCACTGAATAATAGTCCCGGAAAAAAAAATACCATTATGACAAATAAAGCAGACCAATGTGGCATGTTGTCAATATTTATTTATTTAAAGATTTGCAGGTCACTTAGAAATTTGAAAATGAGTGACACCTAATTGCGCGATATAAATGTCAATAAAAAAACTACAAGCAACAATGCTTAAAAACCTACATGAACCAGCAACACAAATATCAACCAAGAAACAAGCGTTTGGGACAGTAACATTGCAATCTGTGGATGGAGCATTTCCCCGGGTTATTCCACTTGCCACCCTTAAACAGACTAACTGAGATCAGATTCAGGATGATATAGTTCATGAAGATACGTTCATCAAGAACCGACGCACTCTCTTGCGATAGGATACGATTGTGGTCGCATTGTCTTTCATGATCATGATCGAGGTGATCAAGGCTGGAACATGTACATTATACACAGTCCCACTGATTATGAACTTCATTACAATTGAAATCTTGGACTTAATCATGGACTTATCGTATTAAATATTGAGGTGACATTCGTGTTGTTAGTAGAAACGCTTCCACATCGTGGTTATCGAGGATCGATCTAAGAGTCTTCCAAGACATACTCAAACATACAAGGTTATAACCAATAACACACGCACGTGCAATCAACCTTCTCAATCCTATGCTACTTCCAATGCTTTGTAGAACAGATCCCCGAACTTCAACGTTTGATTTGAACATGTCCAATGGTCAGCTTCATTTCCGCATCTAAGGGTGGTCTCACGTGGGTGTCCCTTTTCAGGATAATTAGGCGAATATTGTTGAGAAGCTCATCAAACATGTGGGGTGACATTCTCACTTAGCTGACAAAGGCATTCTTATATCTTCCATTCTCAGATCCTGCATGCATCAGTCTGTGGTAATGAGCACATTCAGCAGCTGATCCATCCATCCCGGAGCAAATAATACGGCTGCTCTACGTTGGACATCCATTTGAAATGGTGTTCGAGCATGGGTGGATCCTATTTATAACACCTCACGTATTGTCAAGAATAATCAAAAATTAGCTTAAATTCGTACCAAATTCGTACTTGCATCCGGCATATTCCTAGCTGATTCGTTACCCTTAGTAAGAATGGAATAGTAGCATATCGGGAAACTCTCACGATTCTCACATATCGGAACTTGAACGTGGAAGACGGAGCACAGATAGACAATGCAGTCTTGGATTGGTTATGGTGTCATCGGATTGTATATATAGGTTTTTGTATATACGTATGTTGTAGAGAATTATTAGATCGGGATTGTGTCATGGCTCAATAGTGGCGCAATCGGATACATATTGTGGCTCTGATTCCTGGATAACCTAGCACGCACGGTTATTCGCAGGACTGCTGAGTCGTGAGAATGGTTGATATAATCTTGGTATAATCAGAGTACTGACGTGGCTGGAACTTGGGGCTAATGAGCATATCATGAATAATTGAGTTTTATTGCCCTTGTTCTTGAAAAAAATTAGCATGTAAACACTGCAGTAGCAGGCTCAATTATTGATAGATTTTGACGAATCTTGGTGTGAATGTTTGTTATCACCCAAGTATAAACCCTATATAAAATCAGAAAAATCTAAATATTTGGTATGAGTTATTGCCGTTGTTCTTGAAAATACGTTCAATTAAACCCGTTAACTTTCTAAAAGGCTCAATTCTATATGGATTTCGACTAAACTTGGCGTGAGTGTTTGTTATCAACCAAACATGAACCCTTTCGAAAATCAGTAGAATCGAAAAATATTTAGTATGGTTATTGACCTTGTTCTTGAAAACGCTTTCAATTATTATACGCCCGTATTATTATACGGGCGTATATTGTAATCACCCTGTCGGTCGGTTCGTCGGTCGGTCCGTCCGTCCGTCCGTTCACATTTGGTTCGTGCGTACTCTACAGGCTACAATTTTTTACAGATTCTTTTGATTTTGATTTTGTGTGTCAATGACATTATGAAGATGATCACTATCGATTTTCGTGCTGATCGGATAATTTTTCACCGAAATATCGTGTCTGACTTGACGTTTTACTCTATTAGCTATATTGTGCAAATCGTGCTCACTCTACAGGCTACAATTCTATACAGATTCTTTTGATTTTGATTTTGTGTGTCAATGTCATTATGAAGATGATCACTACCGATTGAGAGATGAAATAAATGATCTGAAATATAAGAAAGGTAAATTTTACGCGATAACAAATGTACATACTTCCGATCAAAAAGGAGTTCATCATTCTGCTTTGTACAAAGACTCTGACTTATATTTCTTCGATTCTTATGGATTAGAACCCACTGAAGAGATAGTGCAATTGACTAATAAACCAATCAAATGTTCTTCCTTTCAAATTCAATTACCGGGACAAAAGTATTTTGGTCAGCTTTCACTTTGGGTTTTATATCAGTTGAGTTTAGGAAAACAGTTTGAAGAAATTGTAATAAATTTAACTCAATAAAAATGGCGAATAAGTTTGGATTAGGTTCTTTATCTTTAGAAACTAAAAAACCCAACACTACAGCGTGGATAAATAAAGCGAAACCTTACTTTGTGGATCAAATCGGTGACAATCTTCAAGGTGATTTAGATATGAACAAGTTTAGCATAACTAATTTAAAGTCTCCGGAAAACGATAATGACGCTGTTCACAAGAAATATTTACGAGATCAAATAAATTCAATTGAAGTAAATAAAAACCATTTAGAAGATGAAATAAGTAATGTGAAAAGATTCTTCAAACGTCAACTAAATAATAAAAATTTTGTTAATGATACTAAACTACAACAAGAGGTAAAAGGTTTAATAAGTTTTATTCAAAAAGAATTGGTCAACGTAGTGAACAAAACTGAGTTACAAAATTTAATTTCATTAATGTCTAAATTAGAGGATAAGATTGCAAAACAAAAATTAGACATTCAACAATTGATAGATAACATTCCAGATGAAAATGAAGATACGTTTCAACAGGAATTAAATGCTCTGGAAACTAAACTTAACAGTGAATTACAAAAAGAACTAAGAAATATTAAAAAACAAATACAAAACATAGATGATAGCGAAATTAAAACCTATATTCAACAACAAATACAAAATATTGATGATAGCGAAATCAAAACCTATATTCAACAACAAATACAAAACATTGATGATAGTGTTATTCATCAACAGATAACCACTATTAATAACCTAGTTTTAAAACAGGACAAAAATATAGTCGCATTAGAAAAAAAGGTTCTCAAGAAAGAATCATATTATTTCAATCTTCCATTTGGAAATTTGAGTAATAAAGATGCTTCTATTACTGATAATATTGATAGATCAAAAATATGGATTTACAGCAAATATAAGAGTAATTAATCCTTCAGCTGTTAACCCCCATTACATATTTCATGATGTTAATGATCAACCATCATATTTTTATTTCCGAAGAAAATTTGTAATTGAAATAAATTTTCCCATTCAGGTAAAAGTTGAATCAATATTCTTCAGACAAAACTCATATTCTTCTAATCAATTTAACGCTCGTAAAGTTCTTCAGTTTATCAATGGTAGAGACAATGTAGAAACTAAAGAATTTGAAATTAACGACGAAAACAGCAAGGTTAATCACTTATATGAAATTAAAACGAGTGGAAAATATATAGATAGGTTTAGAATGTTAATCATACCAGATAATGAAGATATTTTTCTTACATTACATTTTGATATGATATTGGAAACGCAAACTCCACCATCAGTAAGTATTATTAGAAATCCAGAACCACAAAAAGAAGGAAATATGAGTTATGAGTTTTTACGAACATCAGACTTTGAATACGTAAAACTATATTTTGTTAATAATGATATATTTACCTCAATTGATATTCATAAAAGTCAACAAAAACAAAATTTTTTAATAAGAGATGCTGCATATGTTAATATGTTATATCAATCTCTATTAGAAAACCAAAATTTTCAGTTCATCTGAATAAGATTAATGATTCGAAAGAACAAATATCGTTAGTAACTGTAGAAGTTGTTATTAATAAACACCTAGCAGCTTTATCAGAAATTCACTTAATTTAATTACCTAAAAAATGGAACTCGAAAGTAGACAACAATATATGATAGACAAACAAAACGAACTAAAACAAAAACTAAAACAATTCAACAAATGTAGAACAACATGGAGTAGAATCGATTCTGTTTTGAAAACATTAAGTACAGTTCTAACAGTAGGGATAACGGTGGCAACAGCCGTAACCGGTGGATTAATGCTTCCAATAATTGTCCCAACTGTATTAGCCGCGTTCACTGCCGTTCAAACTTCATCTTGTGGATTGATTACTTTAGGTTTTACATCAAAACAGAAAGCTCATTATAAAAAGAAAACAGAAATTTTAAATACATATCTTAATAAATTATTCATTACAAGAACATAACAGTTGAAGAATTAAAAAAATTCAATGAAATTTTAGATAAATTTGATGCAGAAATATCATCAATAAAAGTTAAAAATTCCTAGTTAAAAATAGTTGCTTTAAAAATATGAATAAAATTTAAATTTTAAACGATGAAACATTCATATCAAATGAACTTTTTTCCAATGCTATTAAGCTTATCACTGATGAATTTTAACATTTAAAGGGCAAATTTAATTAGATGGAGAGATAACTCAAGATGGAGGACGCAAATAAGGCATGCAATTTGTAGCTTTTAATGCCAAAACTTTTCGCAACTTCTTCACTAGAGTGGATGATAAATCGGATGCTTCTGATTGGTATTTCACAGGAAAAATGATTTTTCGTAAAAACAATTTCAAAGAAATAAAAAGATCAAAAAAGGGTAGAGGTGTAACCCTACTCAAAAAGATAAAAGAATATATCGGTATAAATTGTTATATACCGAGCGATGGATACTGCTTTGTAAAGTGCGTTAATAATGTTTTAAACGAAGACTACACGAGAGAATTTCACGATTTCATCAACAGTTTTTCAAAATCAAACAGAAAAGGAGTTATGACATCTGCTAGAATCAGTGAATTCGATGAGAAATTTAATACTTATTTTCAAATTTATATGCCCAAACATAGACATTTTCAACCAAAGAGAGTATCCGAGGAATTAGATTGGGTATTTTACTTATATAAATCACATTTCTGTCTCATTAGAAGAAATAACAAAACCTTAGGCATTAAAGAAATAGAAGATAATTACGATGAAAACGTATGGAGAACTTGTAGAGATGATAATGCGATATCGCAAGTTTCACCTCTAAAACTAAACGTTTTTCCAACCATTCCCGATGATTGTTTATACGCGTGGGATTGCGAAACCTATAACGAAAATAAAGCCATAACTTATTCTTGCACGTTAATTAATTTAGAAAAACTAAGAAAAATGTTTAACAGAATAAATAATCTCTTTCCAGATTTAAAGCCGACAGATCCCATTCCAGAAGAATTTTACAACAAAGTTATGACTAATATAGTAGAAATATTTGTAGGTACAGATTGCATCGATCAAATGTTACAACGGAAAAATAGATCAAAAAAGAATAACATTAATTGCTCATAACGCTATCGGTTTTGATAACTGGATCATGCTTAAAAATGCGAAAAAACTAACGCAATGTCCACTAGTAACAGCTTGTAACGCATTCTGTCTCTACCTAACTAATTCATTCACCGATGAATATTTACAGAAAAAATGGAAAAGACAAAAACAAATAATGGGCAAAATATTAATTTCATATGTTCCTATCAACATGAAAAATCTAGTTTGGCGGCATGGGGAAATTCATCTTCTAATCTACCGATGAATTTGAGAAAGATCGAGGATGTAGACATTGCAAAATACACCAAAGATAATTGGAAACCTTTAAGACACGAATGGGAACCTTACGCTAAAAGAGATACGTTATGTCTCGGAGCTTGTTTGATAAAATACAATCAAGCAATGAAAGAAGCTGTATTTCAGATTATTTCCAATAATCTAACGGCTCCTTCTTTATCTTTAAAGGGTTGGTATTATTTATATCATTACGATAAAGAAATGGTTGAAGAAGAATGGTATGAAACTACTAGAAAGGTTCCGAAACACACTGAAAAAGAAAACGTAGAAAAAGTTTACTCACATACTCACCCTTTTATAAGATATTTTATCAGACAAAGTATTAAAGGAGGAAGAGTTTCGGCAAATCGAAAATCATTTGAAACGAATAAAATGGATGAAATTTGTAATATATTAAAGGAGTTTATTTCACAAAGTGACTCTGATAATATAATAGATTGATTCAAAGAATACAGCGCTAGCACGAAAGATAAAGCGGAGGTTCATTCGAGACTTAAAAAAATAAAATGTACTAAACTAATGGCCTTTGATGCTAACGGTTTGTACGCTTCCGCCATGACGGATTTAGATAGCGAATATCCGAGAGCGGAAAGTGGTAGAACATTTCGACAAGAAGAAAATAAAGAATATCTCAAGCTCTTTAATGAACAGAAATTCAGACCTAGAACTGCTATTTTAAAAGTCTGGTTTGAATATCCTACCAACATGTTCTTCCAACCCATACCAGCTAAAGATAAAATCACTTTCACGAATAGAATAGGTAAAAAGGAAACTGGCACTAACATCAGGTTCAGAAATGGTTTCTGTCACGACGTTTTAACATCGGTCGATATTCAAGAAATAGTGAAAGCCGGTGGACGAATTATTAAAATATTAGATGGTATAGTTTACGAAGAAAATTTTTAAACTCCACCCTATAGAGATTATATTTTAATTTTGAGAGATCTAAGAAATAAATATAAACGAGAAGGTAATATCGTAGGTAGTAATTGCATGAAATTATTAGGCAATTCGTTGTATGGTAAATCTATTCAGAAGGATATAACTACATCGAGACATCTATGGAGTGAAGCGACTTTAAAAGCCAACTACGATTCACACATCAAAAACTATGAAAAAGTAAATGATAGTCAATATATAGTTGAGATAAATGAAGAAGAAAAAGAATTCATTCCTCCTCCTAAATCTACACGACTAACACCTAGCCATTTGGGATCATTCGTTTTATCTCACAGTTAAAAAATAATGAATAATTTTATTTGCGTGATAGATGGATTTTATAAGCCTGAAATATACTATACGGATACCGATAGTTTATACATTTCGTCTAGCAATTGGGATAAATTAAATGAAGCTGGGTTGGTGTCCGAAAATGATTATTGTAAAGGAAAGAATGATTACGGTGATGGTGGAATTATATTTGGTTTATATTTAGCGCCAAAAGTCAAATACAATATCATTCTAACTTCCGACGGTATTCTAAAAGAAAAGAAAACGTTTAAGGGTTACTCTAAAGATAAGATATCCGTAGAAGATTATATTCGATTAGCTAGTGGATGTAATGAATGAATTTAAGAAACCTTGGGTAGAAGTTTCACCAATGGAGTAGTTATTCCAAAGAAGCTATCTAAATCTCGTTAAGAGAAAAGCACCAAACAGTGAAGGAATCGTGTATCCTTACAACGACGGAAAAGAATTGAACATGGATGAAAACTACGAATTTGATGATTACGATTACCTTACTATTCAAGAAGAGAATGAAGAGTGTTAATTTTTTTGTTTTAAATGAAGTTGAATATAACAATTTCCTCGTTACCAAAATCTATAAACCTATTTTTACCATCTTTAATTTCCAGATCTATATCTTTAATCATAAAGGAATTAAGTGGTAAATACGTCGTTTGAAATGGTTTCTCAATAATTCTATATCCTATCGGTACAGTGAATGTTGGAAGACTGTAAATAATCTGACGTTTGTATTTATTGAAAAATCCACCGTGGATTGGGTGTATATTCGTTAATCAAATCCTAGTAACGTATTCAATGAATTTTCTACGTTAAAATCAACTTGACTATTATTTCTTAATATCAATTTTATTTTGTTCAGATTCAAATTACCTTCGAATTCAATATTGTTTTTACCATCTACACTTCCTCCATCTTCAGATAGGTATTCGTTAATGGCTATGTATTCATAGCTTCCTGGTAGTAAACGTATGTTTTTGAACGTAACTCCGTTATCTGTTGATATTTTTATTTGATTATTTTTTTCGTTGATATTTCTAATGGAATTGTAAACAGAGAAATATTTTAATCCCAATTCATATTCTTGATTGCGATTGAGTTCGTACTCATAATCTAGAGACAATTTAATGTCTGATTTATTTGAAGTGAGGACGAATAGTTGATCTTTATTTGACATTTTTAATCACGCTTTTATAATCATTTTTATCTATAATACCTTTCTCTAGGAGTCTTTTTAGTATACAATTTACTTCATTATATTGTCTGTGCGATCGATGTCCTTCCTTCATTGCCGCTAGTATTACTCGTAATCTCCAGATGCCACCATATCATCGAATTCGTCTATTTCTTGTATGATTGGATTGTCTTCAGCATAATCATCTGCTTCGTCAACTTCGTATTCATCATCATGTTCAATTACTCTTATATATAGTTTAACTTCTTTTGATCTTCTTGTTTCGGGTCCTGACTTTCTTATTGCATTTAGAAATTGTAAGTATGCTACCAAATCCTCGTAATCGGCAATGGGAATATCCATATTGTTGTGTAGATATACAAAGAATCGAAATCTAAAAGGTTTGGTGTTGTCAACATGTTAAAAGTGAGATGTGTTTTTCCAGAACCGGAACTACCGCATATACACATGAGCATTGGATTATTAGGAAATATTTCTGAATGATTAAATTTTTTGCCCATTTTTTATTATTTTAATTTGTTCCAAAAATCACTGCTCCTTTATACTTTGAAAGATATATTCCTTCTCCAGTGTGTATATTTTTTAAAAATATTCCATTACCCTTATGTTTGACTTTGACTTCTACCGTGTCAATACTATCTACTAATTTATTTAATCCTTGTTTAACAGTTTTCTTGGTTTCTTCCCCAAATCTTTTTCCAAATTCTTTTATTGTGCCTATCATATCTCCCACTCCTGAACCTTTGGCTTCCTTTTCCATTATTAAATTATGTCTACCTTCTTCAGTGGCTTTAGCATCAGCTGCTTGATTTGCGTTGGCAGCTTTGACTGCGGCAGTTATTCTTCCAGTAGCTGCACCCGCTGCTGCAATACCACCAAATATTAGAGGTAGAAGGAAAGGTAAAAATCCACCTTCTTTTGCGTTCGCGTCAATTCTTTCTAAATCTATATCGTCTCTGACTTGACAATATTTGTATTTATCAATAAGTTTTTTAGTTATGCTGATTTTTTTACCGTTGAAAGTTATTACAGTTGGGGAAGCTGTTTCAACAGCTTCTATTATTTTCATAACTAAAGTTTCTGGTTTCATTTTTAAAGGGTGTATTTTTTACTCAATTCTTATCATTCTTCTATCTGCTATTTTAATTAAATGTTTTGCTTCTTCCAATAATAAACAATAACCTGTTAGATCTCCTTGTGTTTTTATATATGAATATTTATGTTCACTCCTGTTTTGAAAAGATCTTCTTGGTGAGCTGATAGATCAAAACAGAAGATTGGATGATTAAGTGCAAAATCTACATATTCAAACTGAGGTAGATGGATTAAAGGATTTTGAGTTTGGTTCATTGCCACTCTAAAGACATTATTGTTATTCGTTTGAGAATCTGGTAAGTTCTTGAAACCAACCATTAAGTATCTTGCTGGTTTAATAGTGTTAGTGATTGGCCACGTGGTGGATTCTCCCGTTAAAGTCATGCTACCTACCGTGTTACGATGAAGAAAAGCTATTTCAATATCTTTAGTTAACGAGTTGAATATTCTCGTTTCTACTTCAATTGATGGTGTTATTACGGGTATGAAATGTTGGAGATTCGTTATTTCTAATTTTGCATCTGAACCATTCTCTCCAAAGAATATCTTATCGTCGTTGATTTCTCTTTGTAGATGAATTTAATAGGGTAAGCCTATGGAAACTTTTCTATGTTCCAACAGACCGAATAAAGGATATAATTTCCACTTTACGTAATTACCCCACCTATTATTCTCAACAATATTATTGTACTGAAGTACTCGTTTTTCAAATCCATGATTAGCTATTCGTGCTTCTCTTTCTATGGTGTTTCGAGCAACATCTCTCACTCTATCTAAATCGGCATCATTTGCAACATTTCTTACCGCTTCTTTTAAAACACTTCCATCGCCAACATCGGGTATCCAACCCGAGACTGAATCGAAATCTTTAGGATATAAAACTGTTTTCAACATTGTGTCAAATTCCCCAGGGTGTTTGATTGTTTCTATCGGATTTGAACCAGCTTCCTAAACCATCTCGCTAAATACAGATGGAAAGAAATTATTTTCTAACGTTGTATTTGTTTGAGGAACTTGATTCTGAGTTCCTTCTTAAATTTTGAAATCGCATCTGAAATAAGCATAGGAAATAAGCAACCAATTCGATAATGAATTTATTTCGACGGTAATTCTACCACCATCATTCAATTGGGATTTAGAACCAACAGTCGGTGAGATGATAATATAATCCTCTTTTTTCTTGTTAAACGAATAACGAATCGGATCGTATAATCTAAAGATTGGATCTAGTATTTTATTCGCCATTTTTAAGGTTTAAAATTTGAGTAGAAAATTGTTTTCCAAAACAAGAGTTATCTCCCTTTTTTCTAGACTAAAAATAACATTATTTAAAACGAGGCTATTAAAAAATGTTATGTTATTTTTATATAAGGGTATTTTTAATATGCTTTTTTGATGGAATGTAGGAAATTGATTGAAGGTGTTTAGGTCTTTTTTTAATGTAAGAATTTATGAAATGTAGGATGTTTTATGAAATGTAGGATGTTTTGCTGTAAGAATTTATGAAATGTAGGGAATTTAGGTCTTTTTTGGGAGCTTATAGATTGGTCGCATTTTCCCCATGAAATGAAATGGAATGGGGAATCCCCATGCGACCAATCTATAAGCTCATACACTACTGTCATATGGTTAAAACAAACTATAGGGCTACCCCAACCAGGGGATTCAACAATGACGGAGAGGGGGTAGCAGAAAACAGAAGACAAACTGCACTACAAAAGGTTAAAACATTAGAATTAATGCTCGGACAAATTGCCAATTATTGCCCCGTGATTTCAAGGAAATCTATTGTCCAGAACTCTACATCTACATCTACATCTCTATATGGCAGTCAATCCGTCTTCACTGTGGTTTCCAGTCAACCGGAAGCCATTTCTTGGATTTCGATGATATCAGTTTAGACGTC